TTGTAAGAACCAACTGTGCCGAATCGACAAATGTATCACTCATAATGAAACCATTAAGAACATCAGGGAGACGACGAGAAACATTTAAAGATCAGTGATGCTGTGAACATGAACGGTATCGTTCCGTAACATCAACCTTTAGATAGCACAAAGTGTTTGACATTTTATATTTATATTCATTTTACTATAAAATATCATAAATAACCTTTTAAAAGGTTAAAACTCCAAAAGATCTGAAAAGTGTTTGTACTTTATTTAAGTGATGAATGTGTGTGTGACTTTGCCGCCTCAGCTAATCAGCAACCTCTGGACATGCAGAACAGAGCCCAGCCTGAGCTGACAAAAACTAAAGGCGTCTTTGGTCAAACGTGTCAGTTTCCATAGTCTTCCATGTGAAGATATTCAGTTTTAAAGGTAAACAGGTAAACACATTTACCGGCTGCTACAAAACAACCATTTTGGTCTCTATAGCTAATTTCTGTACAAAGGCTTTTTGTGTAGTTTGTATTATTAGCAGCTTCACATGAGAGTTCACAGTTGCTGCAGCTGCCAGCTGCCTGTTTGTTATCACCACAGTGAGTCTGAGTCACTGAGCTGGACTTCTTCACTGTGAATGTGGTGTTGGTCCACTCTGGAGCATTTTCAGTACAAACAGCATCGTGTGACAGAACAAATTATTTGTTTTCTGACCAACAGTGTTTTTCAATGTGTGTAATTTATCCTAACAGACAACCTAAAAAGTAATTGCTCCAATTTTAATTAAGTTCTGTTGATTATTAAGGATGCAGTCTATTTAATAATAGCATGCTAACTAGTATTAACAGATAAATTTGTATTCCACTCACAAAATATGGGAAAAAAAGAAACAAACAGACAGTAGCAGGTAAAGTCGAGATTTCAAAGTAGAACTTCATGAACCCACAGTGGGTACACCCATCTAGGACAGCTGTATCCTCGTGCTTTTCTTTCTGCTAAGCTAATCTAAATGGTGCTGTTTTAACATACATTAGACTGCAGGAACACCACAAAGCACACGTCATCAAAATCTCAAAGACTTATTTTCATTTCTGTGCCTCACAGTGCACACATCTTTTTTTTTTTTTCATTACTCTTGACCTCAGGCTAAGTTCTAGTTTGAGTCAGGATCAGTTACAGGGAGAGGACTTCATGCTGCACCTACCGTCTGCCATTGTACATCCACCAGATGCTCCAGCTGGAACAAGCTGAGGGAAAAACTATGATTAATACTGATGATGATGTTTTACACTGATAGAATATAAACAACTTCCTTCTGTCCACAGGATGAAGGACTACTCAGTTTTAAAACTGTGCACCTTATTTGTTTCCAGTTTTTTGAAAACAATAAACGATGGGCTGATGCACCAGAAAACATTAAAACCAACTAAATCAGGGGTCGGCAACCTGCGGCTCTTTAGTCTTTATTTTGCAGCTCCGGGTGGTTTGGGAAAATAAATGAGAAGTATTTAGCTGAAGTGTATTTTATTT